TTGGATTTACCATCTAAGGTTCACTATTTGTTTTAAACTATTCGAATTTTGAATCAAATTATTCGTTCATGATGCAAAACATAAATCTTGTACTAAAAAATATCAAGTTTTACATGAGTAAGCATTAATCCACACTAATATGCGACATTTTTACAATTTATAGCCTAACATATGGTTCCATATATTCATCACGGTAGGCAAGTTTATCTAACACACACAAGCACCCAAAAAAAAACCTAAAAGAAAAATATATATATTTTTTAATTTTGAATTTTTGTTTTGCACTTGAACATGCACACAAACCAATAAAAACTCAATATTTTTTCACTCCCAAATTTATAACTGATATTTTCATCAATCTCTAAAAATATAATAAGCATTATATAAAAATTAAGGGGAAAGAAGGGAACTAAGCGCTCCTCTAGTATAAATCTGCAGGTGGTGGATGGACTGGCATGAAAAATGTTGAATCATTTGCTCTTTATTTTCCCTTATCCAATGTGTTCAGGTGTTATGTTCCTTCAAAATAATAAGAAAATCAATGATAATGTGAAACACTTTATAATAAGCTTTGGGGATGATATCCTATACTCCTAAAAGCAATAAAAATTATTAATCTTATATCTTAAAGAGCAAATAAATGAAAGAGAAGTAAATTGGGTAGCCTCCTAATAAGCGCTTATTTATAATTATTAACTTGACTTTGTTGTTCTACATTATGGAATTCTGAAGAAAGCCTTTAATGATTTGCTTAGTTTGTTTCTTTTGACTCTGATCCACTTTTCGTTGATTTTCTAAATCTATGTAGATTTCTTCCTCCTAGAGCTTAGTCACCAATTCAATTGTTAGACAATTGATGATGTTGAAAGAATGTGTGTTAATTTCATCATCATTAATTGCCACTTCTTCGCTTGGTTCCGTTGTAATTAGTTTGTCATCTTGTTTATACCATTCTTCAATAATTGATATCTCATCCAGTTGAATGGTCAGATCATACTCTAAATTCATCGACAATGGTAATTCTTTCCTTTCAACATTTTCAAGTGAATTATATCACCACCTTTTAGATTTGTCCAATAATATAGAATTTCTTGTACGTATTTTGCTTTCATCCAACATAGCAAGTTCACTATAATATTTGGCAAATATTTCCTCATTCAATAGGGGAGGATCAACTCTCTTAAAAATGATGTCATCGTCTGGATGTGTAAACACATATTCGCCTTTAGGCATGTAGCATTTATTAGATTTGTCAATTGCTTGTTTTTAACATTTTAAATACTGTTTAAATTGTAGAAGTTTGGACATAAATAGATTAATGCATGTATACAAGCATTACTCTATATAATGCATTTCATTACAAAGCTCACAAATTATGTCTTCTACAAGCATATCCTTATCATCCATGTCGAGATTACTTCTTACAAATTGTTTTTACTCATTTTCCATCATCAGAATTCTGCATATATTGTTGAATAGTACCTGAAAGCATACCGATCAAAAGAAAGATCAGTGTGAATAGTCAAAATTATCAAAAAAATAAGAAAATTCGAATCCTAGATAAAATAATAAACTCAAATTAAATACTTTATTCCCCAACAATAGCGTCAGAAACTTGTTCGTACGAAACCTACAAGCGTACGGATCATTGACAAGTACTAGATTTAGTGAATTGAGAGTATCGTCTCATATGGAATAAATTAAATTTAAGTTTACTAGTTTTGTATGGAATTCAAATTATATAAAACAAAAAATATATTACTATTTGATTTTTTTGCTAAATTAATATAAGAAAGCTATAAAAGTTTGATTTTTATTAAATTTTGAATAACTGCATTGGATCTAGATTCCACCTATTGCTATCTATTTCAATGCACGCATTCATGACAATCGATAAAGCTAATGTATTTAACTTTCCTTTTTAAGACAAATTAATTCTATCTTAACCATGATCCGAATCTATTCCTATCCCAAATTTGAATGATTAAAATGCAATAAAATATAGATTATCTATATGACTGTACATGTGATAATGTTATTCCTAACATCTATTGCACATATGTTAATTTGACAGCGTTCTAAAATTATTGTGAGTCTCCCAACACTACAACAAGTAATTAATTATATGACTGGTGGTTAAACAATTAAGTAGTGTAATGGTAATGCAAAATTAATTAAGAAACGCAAGAAATCCTAAACCACTACTCTTGAATTAGAAATAAATAACTATTAGTGTTCATCTTTATATAATATGAAGCAGATCCAGCCTAACATATTAATATATAAATTATAAGATGAATAATGAAAAAATATCACCAGACCATGAAAGAATACAAAAGATGTTGATCTTCAAGTCCAAAGTAGAATTCTTCATTTTCTTTATGTAATTAACTTTCAATTCTTGCTAGGGCTTGATCTCCTCTTTTGAAGTATAGTAATTGGAACATTGTTCTTAATGAATTTGATAATACTATTACGTATGAAGAGGCAAGAAAATGTTTTTTTATTAACTTTTTTTTTATTATGTGTAACCCCTTGTTTTCTAATTAAAAGAGTCCAAAAATAGGTCAAAATTGCATCCAATTTGGGTTTCGAAAAAGTTTGAATTGCAAAATAAAACTGTTGATTCATCTGTGAAAAAAGCTCGTGTGCACGAGTCATTGAAGCATGTGGCTCTTGGGTTATGAAATTTGTGTCTCACACGGCATGAATGGCCCATGCGTGCGAGCCATTTTGCGAGCTTTTGTCTATGAGCTGCTTTTGATGTTTTGATCATAACTTTCTCTTCCGATATTCGATTAAAGTGATTCAAAGTGATTTAGAAAGCCAACTCAAAGAGATACAATTTTTTTTATAGATAAAATTTTTCAAATTTGAACGTTTGCTAACCAAAAAATGAGTCTCAATTTAAGGCTAAAATTTGGAGCATAATTTCTTCGATTGAAAATTGATTTGTGAAAATACTTAACTCTATTTCATTCATTTGACTTCCAAATTGCATCCAATTGATCATATGTAATCTTCAATCATCATTTTATGGTCCAAACCAACTATTGAATGTTTACACTTTGGTCCCCAAACTTTTGGTTTCTTTCGTTCTTGCCCATTTTTCGTTACTTTCTTCCAATTCCATCAATTTGATTTAAATTCAACCTAACAAATATAACTGACCTATAGTTATGCTATAACTCATTCAAATCACCAACAAATATTTCAATTTACTGGCCTAGATAAATGTATAAAACACACTTATCAACAATATCAGTTTATTGTGATATTTAATGAATCCTCAAATACTTAAGAAGGCTTTGTAGTAGCAATTTCCATCAAATGAGTAGCATAACCAGACATCATTGTTGAAGTCATACATATAAAGCATCAACCTAGATAAGATGGATTATATAAAACTTGACATTATCAATAACACCAGCACAGTAAACTTTTGTCTATTTATTAAATAATCTAGGCGAAATACGTTGTGGATTATTATAAGACTAAGACAAGTGTTGGGGATAGTTCGAAGTCCTAAATTTAGCAACTTGACTTCGTCATCAAGCCTTAATGGGTTTATAAATTTTGTTCTCACCATTTTCCTCAAGAGTTAGCTCATTTTGGTTGAATAACACATAATCTCTAGGAATTAGTGGCCTCATCTATTTCTTAGACAGTAATGTTGGAAAAAATAATTAGTTGTAGTAGTGATCAGAACAATATAATGCAGAAATATAAAACTTATCGTCCGATCGAGTATCGTGACAGCACGATGTCCTAAAGTGAAATTGCCCGTCAATAATTGCTGCGACCTCCGTGGACAAGCACTCCCAGGATACAACGATCGTAAACCACTTGTGCAGCAATCACGAATGATTTTTCTAGAACTCTCAATTGTACTCCAGAATAGATATAAAAACCCGAATATAAGAAATTCACAATATGAAAAGAGTGATTGATGCAAGATGATTTTTCTATTTGCTTTGTGTGTCTTTTCCCAAAATGAGATATGGGTTTATATAGGCAAGATGGTAGTAACAGTCTTCACCATGTTAATGCAGAATTTTAATGACTGAGTAATGGGTGTTTTAATGACAGTTAGTGGGTTGTTACAAAAACAAACAGTCATAAAATACTGGCTAGTTTTACCCATTAAATAATAAAGGAAAAAAAATATTTATTTTAGTCAAGGAAGCCCATGGTCCCAAGGCCCCAATCAAGACATTTTAATATTTGCGTGGGGAGTGATTCGAACCCCTGACGTCCCACACAAATGTCACATTTCCCACCACTTTGGCACTTTATCTAATTTGATTATTTCTTTCACATTTTATATTTATACCATAAATATATAACAATCCCCCACATGAAAGAAATAAGATAAATGAAAATATTACTCTGGAGTACGGTAGAAATCATGTAGGCTTAGGTGTCTATCGACTTGAACCTTGGCTTTGTATATTCTATCGAGCTTACTAACTGTAGAGTGAACTATGTCTTGAACTCTACAATTATAGTTGCAAACTGAGACAATAGAACACACACATGATTTCTAGAACAGTCATTGAGTTCTCGCAGTTGTGTTCATTTCGACCGTGAACTTTCCCAATTTCTTTGAGTGCTCTAGAGAATTCGCCTCAATTCTCATAGGAAACGGCCCCACTTCCACACTCAAATAGGTGCTACTATCAAGGGTGCACTGTATTTAAACACCTCACTGAATATCAGCTATAGTAAGCATTAAGAGCATTAGGTCATCCTCTAATCAATACAGTTGGTACTACGCATCATAGGGAGGGGTTTGGAATAAATCCAATGTAGTACCCCCACAGACCACTCCAATAACTTTGTTGTCCCATTGAACCTTGACCATGGGGTCTCCAATTATAAGGTTGGGATTCCATTATAGGTGATCTAATACATAATAGGATTTAGCCCCATCCCCCTCGATGTTTGTTGAATTAGCTCTCTAGCCAATCCTTTGGTTAATGGGTCAGCAATGTTATCACTTGACTTCACATAGTCAATAGCTATAATTCCATCCTTAAGCAGCTGACGCACAGTATTGTGCCTCCTACGAATATGTCTAGACTTTCCATTGTATGATGAATTTTGAGCTCTTGAGATAGCTGCTTGATTGTCACAATGTATTGAAATAGTTGGAAATGGTTTAGACCACAAAGGAACATCCATAAGAAAATTCCTTAATCATTCAGCCTCCTCACCTGCCTTATCTAAAGCTATGAACTCAGATTCCATAGTAGATCTAGCAATGCAGGTTTGCTTAGTGGATTTTCAGGAGACAGCTCCGCCTGCTAATGTAAGTACATATCCACTTGTAGATTTACTTTCATTGGTATCGGAAATCCAATTAGTATCACAATATCCCTCAAGTATAGCAGCGAATTTGGTATAATGTATTCCCCAGTCTAGAGTGTATCTCAAATACCTCAAGACTCGAATAAGAGCATCCCAATGTTCATTGTTAGGATTACTAGTATACCTGCTAAGTCTACCGACAGCATATGCTATATCAGGTCTTGTACAGTTCATGAAGTACATGAGACTGCCGATTACTTTAGCATACTCTAAAGCGGAAACACTAGGACCTGAATATTTTCTCAAATGACGGCTTGCATCATAAGGTGTTTTAGCAGGAATACAGTTGTATTGATTAAACTTCTTAAGCACTTTTTCTACATAATGTGATTGGGTCAAAATAATTCCTCCAGAATGTTTTACTATTTTGATTCCTAGAATAACATCAGCAACACCCAAATCTTTCATTTCAAAGTGCTTGTTTAGAAACCGCTTAGTTTTATTAACCACATCTAAACTAGTTCCCATAATCAGCATATCATAAACATATAAGCAAATTATCACACCACAATTATTTTCAAATTTGCTATATATGCATTTATCTGCTTCATTTATCACATAACCACTTGATGTCAAAACTGTATCAAATTTTTCGTGCCATTGTTTAGAAGCTTGTTTAAGGCCATAAAGGGATTTTTTAAGTCTACATACTTTATCCTTAAGGCCTTCTACAACAAATCCTTCAGGCTGATCCATATAAATCTCCTCTTCTAAGTCTCCATTTAAAAATGTAGTTTTGACATCCATTTGATGTATAATAAGATCATACAGTAAGGCAATTGCAATTAACATCCCAATAGAGGTAATCCTAGTAACGGGTGAATAGGTATCAAAGAAGTCAACTCCTTCCTTTTGTTTATAGCCTTTAGCTACAAGTCTTACTTTATACTTATCAATTGAACCATCAGGTTTAAGTTTTTTCTTAAACAACCATCTGCACCCAATTGTCTTACATCCTTGAGGTAAGTCCACTAACTCCCAAGTATTATTAGACATAATTGAATCATATTCATTATTTACAGCTTCCTTCCAAAATATAGAATCTGGTGAAAACATAGCTTCACCAAAAGTACTAGGATCATTCTCTACTAAGTAGGTTATAAAGTCAGGACCGAAAGAAGTAGTGGTCCTAGGTCTTTTGCTTCTCCTAATTTCAGCTTCTTCTAATTCAGATGGCTCTTCTCTAACACTAGGAGGAATACTAAAAGAACTGCTTGATCCTTCAGACTTTTCTTTAAACGGAAATCTATTTTCAAAAAATTCAGCATCTCTAGTTTCAAATATTGTGTTCTTTTCAATCAAATTATTTTTAGAGTCAATGACTAAAAATCTGTAGGCATTGCTATGAAACGCATAGCCTATAAAAACACAATCAACAGTTTTCGGACCAAGTTTAGTTCTCTTAGGTGCTAGAATAGAAGTTTTAGCTAAACACCCCCACACTTTAAGATATTTATATGAAGGTATTCTGCCCTTCCACATTTCATAAGGAGACTTATTATTTTTCTTACTTGGAATTCTGTTAAGAATATAACGTGCAGTAAGAAGTGCTTCCTCCCACATGTTAAAAGGTAATCCAGAAGAGTTTAGCATTGATATGACCATATCCTTAAGGGTTCGATTTTTTCCTTTCAGCTACACCATTAGATTGTGGAGAATAGGGTGGAGTAGTCTCATGAATAATACCATTCTCAACACAAAATTTATCAAAATCTCCTGTATATTCTCCTTCCCTATCAGATCTTAAAACTTTAATAGTTTTGTCTAGCTGATTTTCTACTTCAGTTTTATAGGAAATAAATTTTGAATAGCTTTCATCCTTACTCTTAAGTAGATAAATATAATAATATTGAGAATAATCATCAATGAAAGTTAAGAAATATTTATTTTCACCACGAGTAACATATCCTTTTAAGTCACATAAATCAGAATGTATCAAACTTAAGACCGAAGTAGTCCTATCAACACGAGAAAATGGTTTTCTAGAATATTTAGATTCAACACACGTTTCACATTTTGAATTTGGACAATTATCGATTTTGGGAATGTTTCCCAAAGTCATTAATTTTTTAATAGAAGTTTTATTAACGTGTCCAAGTCTAGCATGCCACAAATCATAAGAATCCAACAAGTACACGGAAGAGCTGAATGTTTTATTGTTAATCACAGAGACATTGAGTTTAAACAGACTCTCATCTGCATACCCTTTCCCAACAAAGGAACCACCTTTAGACAGTACAACTTGACCACTTTCAAATACAATTTTAAAACCCTTTTTTACTAAGATAGATCCAGATACTAGATTTTTCCTAATATCAGGTACATAAAGGACATCCTTCAAATTAAGGATATTTTCAGAAGTAAATCTAAGCGTCACAGTTCGTTTCCCCTCTATTTTGGAGGAGGAAGCATTGCCCATGAACAGACATTCTCTATCACTAGCGGGGGTGAATGAAGAAAATGCACCTCTCGTGCAGCAAATATGCTTGGTAGCTCCAGAATCTATCCACCAGTCTGTCATGTTGCTTACTATATTCACTTCTGTCACCATAGCAGAGAAATTCCCATCCTCTACCACATGTGCCTGATGCTTCACAGCTTTTCCTTTCCTATTTCCAGTAGACAGTCATCAATAAGATATATTTGTGACTGCTGACAAACCAACAACGTCGGATATAGAAAATTAATACTTACAGTCCTCCCACGTGTCACCATCATAGTCACACCCCTTTTTGCAGAATACCCTCCCTAGGAAAACCAATTGAAACTAGAAGGACAACAAGAGTTCCCTCAATGCTAACTACCCCTTCTGTTTCCCTTGGAGGTATCTTGAATGTTGTGACTAAATAACCGCAAAGACATTAATAATATTTGATGGTTAACAAAGTCAAAACACCAGCTCTGACTAAGATAATAACAATTCAAGACAAAACCTTAGCAATCAAAACATATCTAAGATTAGGAAAGCACGAAATAACACGGAGCACTCACCAATCACACTTCCTGGCCCTCTTCTTCCTTTCCTCTTCTCAGCAACACCTTGATGGGGTTTCAAACCATTGATTGTTACCATTTCATTTACAGGTTGGTGTCAACTTAAAAACCTTGAGAAGTTGGATCTGAGTAAAAATAAGTACAAAGGATTACTTCCTTCATGTCTAGGAAACATGACATCCCTTCGATTTATTGATCTTTCTTACAATAGATTTGTTGGAAATATTGCATTTTCTCCACTTCCCAAACTCAAATCGCTTGAATATCTCTGTTGGAAAAAATAATTAGTTGCAATAGTGATCAGAACAATATAATTCAGAAATATAAAATTTATCGTCCGATCGAGTCTCGTGACAGCACGATGTCCTAAAGTGAAATTGCCCGTCAATAATTGCTGCGACCTCCATGGACAATCACTCCCAGGATACAACGATCGTAAACCACTTGTGTAGCAATCACGAATGATTTTTTTAGAACTCTCAATTGTACTCCAGAATAGATATAAAAACCCGAATATAAGAAATTCACAATATGTAAAGAGTGATTGATGCAAGATGATTTTTCTATTTGCTTTGTGTTTCTATTCCCAAAACGAGATATGGGTTTATATAGGCAAGATGGTAGTAACAGTTTTCACCATGTTAATGCAGAATTTTAATGACTGAGTAGTGGGTGTTTTAATGGCAGTTAGTAGGTTGTTACAAAAACAAACAGTCATAAAATACTGGCTAGTTTTACCCATTAAATAATAAAAGAAAAAAATATTTATTTTAGTCAAGGAAGCCCATGGTCCCAAGGCCCCAATCAAGACATTTTAATATTTGCGTGGGGAGTGATTCGAACCCCTGACGTCCCACACAAATGTCACATTTCCCACAACTTTGACACTTTATCTAATTTGATTATTTCTTTCACATTTTATATTTATACCATAAATATATAACAAGTAATTCTGAGGCATGAAATCAAGCTACATAAAGGAGTCTGTTGCTTGACACGAATAAAGGCAGAGGGATTATTTCAAAATGTGCAGCTACTTCATAAAATCTGATGAAGCTATCTTGTCATGAAGTCAGGGATTTGCAATCACTTTGCCATCATTCACCCTATATCATCCTCAGTTAGACCCGGTAAATATAGTCAAGTCCACTCTATTTGGACCTCATTCCAAAGGACACCTTTTGAAGGCACCATTACGCTATACTCAGATAGTGACCGTAGAACCAACCCCATTTCAAGCATGCCCCTAAATTAATATTATAAATTGTATTTAATCACTTTCGATAAATGATTCTCTTTGCTTGAAATATATATACATACGGGTATTTCAAGTGATGAGAATAAACCATATATCTGATGATGATAAATTAATTAAGCATAATAATTAAAATTCTTAAATAATAGAGAAGGGACATTGCTAAAAGTTTCATCTTATTTACCAAAAAGAAACTGTACCATTCTATCAGTCAATAACATAAATGCAAGTCAGTTTACGGAAACATCTCTCCTTGTTCGTAGATAAGATCGAACCACTCAAAACATAATGTAGTGTAGATTCTTTCAAGGTGCCCATACAAGATTGAGTTTAACAAAAATTCGTTAGTATTGTTTAGCCAAAATAGGGTCGGTAAGATCAGCTCTCTAGTTACCAAGTGCTACCAAAAACTTTCTTTTACTTCTCGGTTCCTCTTGCAAAAGTACGATATCTTTCACCTTTACTTGCAACCCATCCAAATCAACCACGGCTTCTATTTCTTTAACATACAGAATCTCATTTCTCATGTTATAGAAGAGTATAAAGTAGGATTTCTTTTTACCATACGAATTTAATTGGCATCCCCTATTGGCCAATCTTGGACATTTTTTGGCATATTACGTGGAAGTGAAGACCACTAAATGCTGATTCTTTTGAACCACGTCAACTATTGGCCAATCTTGGACTTTTTTCAGCATCCTTGGCAATGGAAACCATCAGGCCAGATGCAACGAAAGCCCCTGGCAACCATTAGGAGATCTGATTTAAAGTTCAGTGATAATGGAGATTATTTTAGAAGGAGAAAACTCCAGAGTCTCTCATAAACATTTTTATCTGGTGTCTGCCAATCAGAATTCTGTAGACTAGGATCTACAAAGGACAAGCAGTTAGCAAAGGAAATCAGCTTAATTTTGGCTTCCATCTTCAAATCAATGTATAATTATCAAGTCAAATCAATATATAGTTCGAAGTTGTTCAATTTCTAAATATAGCAACTTGACTTCGTCAACAAGCCTTAATGGGTTTTTCAATTTTATTCTCACCATTTTCCTCAAGTGTTAGCTCATTCTGGTTGAATAACACATAATCTTTAGGAATTAGTGGCCTCGTCTATTTCTTAGACAATAATTCTGAGACGTGGAATCCAGCAACATGTAAAGGAGTCTGTTGCTTGACACAAATAAAGGTAGATGGCTTATTTCGAAATGTGCTGCGACTTCATAAAATCTGATGAAGCTCTCTTGTCATGAAGTCAGGGAGTTGCAATCACTTTGCCCTCATTCACCCTATATCATCCTCAGTTAGACCCGATAACTCTACTCAAATCCACTCTATTTGGACCTCATTCCAAAGGACACCTTTTGAAGGCACCCATACGCTATACTCAGATAGTGACCATAGAACCACCCCCACTTCAAGCATGCTCCTAAATTAATGATGTCGATAGTATCAGCATTCTTAACTGGTCAATTACACCTAAACAACCCTGAAAGGCCCCACTATTGCCAAGTAACTGAAATCTATGAGGTCCTATGAGGAAAATATCATACCTAGTTAAAGCTAATTCTTGCAAGTGCTGAAAGTAAAATCAAATCGGGCCTAATAATGCTACACTATAACACTGCAGCCTTTTATGTGAGGGAGGCAATAGTGTCAAAGTAGGGCGAACTAAGAGAGTCAAGGTGCCAAGCTTGGACAGAACTACCACAAAACCTCTTTGCAGTTGGGTCTTGTGAGTTCAATCCAACTGATACCACTATGTGATATTTAGAAAGCCCTTTCATTATAAGTAATACTTTCAGCATACTCTATTTTTTCAATCAACAAATTCAATATATAATTATCAAGTCAACATGCCTTTAAATCGAAAATGTGTTTGGCCAAATTATTATATGCGTGACACGTTCATGAATAAGATCTAATTTATAATATGGCTGTGTTTCACAATCAATCATACAACTTCATGTAGACGATGTACATTGTGAATTTCTTGTCCACCGGAGTCTACAAAAACCTTTAATCTACGCATGGTCTGGATCTTGAATTACAAAGGAAGACGACTTTGTCTCTATGTTTTCTTGGACAGTCATCAAATCATCCATCTTTTTTAGAAGTCTTGAAAGTTTCGAATTCCCATATTTGAAAACACAAAGAGACCTTCCGTACATTTTGTGGTATACTACAGGAAGCCGGATTAGAGGTAAACATCCCCCTGACAATTCAAGCAACTTTACGAGTTGTCCCCGCAAAGCATTTAGATCCCTCCGTTGTACCCGGGTCAAGTCATTCTGGTCACTAGAAGCAAGTGCACCTGCTGAAACTTTGTCCAAGGTACATGTAAGACTTTGTGATGTCGAAGTCATAGATTCTGATACTAAATTATCATTACATTCAAATGTAGAATCTGACATCACTGGAAACCAAGCAACATTTGTACGAGCCTGTGGCAAAAATCCATGCCCACGAGCCACACTAGACCAATCCCATAGAAACCGACTTGCATTACTCAGAGCCGACGAGACTCCCACCCTCGATGGAATAACAAGGATAATAGTGTATCCACGTTGACCTATGAAGTGCAGGAGCAAAATCTCTGTCTCCCGAGATTAACAAGATTGATGAGGGCGGGCGATTTTCGAGAGCAAAAGAGAACATGTCGCCCAAACTTTTCTTGTAGGCAGCATCGTTGGGAACACCTACAAGTTTGACACCTATGCCCTGACACCCCTTTCTTAATCGCCTCGGAAATACACTAAAATCTCCATATGCTGAAAACATGGTCACCGGTCCATTAATTGTAGGATGGGATTGTGAACTCATCATTATGTTGCTAGCTACATCCTCAGGACACACATCACTTGGCACGGGGCAACTCTCAATGTCCCAATAGATGGCAATAGAACCCTGTAAGGAGCCTTTGGATTTTCCATGAGGAAGATTGACAGGAATTTATGTTAAAATTTGACATGCTATAATAACTTTTCGAATTGTCTATACTTTTGTTCATTGAGCATTCCACTGGAAACCAAGCAACATTTGCATTAGCCTGCAGCACAAATCCATGTCCATGAGCCATACTAGACCAATCCCATATAAACTGACTTGCATTACTCAGAGCCGATGAGACTCCCACCCTTGATGGAATAACAAGGATAATAGTGTATCCACGTTGACCTAGTACATGAAGTGCAGGAGCAAAATCTCCGTCTCCCGAGATTAACAAGATTGATGAGGGTGGGCGATTGTCGAGAGCAAAAAGGAACATGTCGACCAAAGTTTTCTTGGAGGTAGCATCATTGGGAACGTGAACGAGTTGGACACCTATCCTATAACACCCCTTTTTTAGTCGCCTCGAAAATGCGCTAAAATCTCCATATGCTGAAAACATTTTCACTAGTTTATTAATTGTAGGATGGGCTCGTAAACTCATCCTAATGTTACCGACCACATCCTCTGAACGCATATCACTTGGCACGGCACAGTTCTCAATGTCCCAAAAGATGGCAACAGGACCTCGTAAGGAGCTTCGGGTTTTCCATGAGGAAGATTGACAAGAATTCATGTTAAAATTTGACATGTTTTTCTGAGTTATCTCCAAGTATCCTGATGGCAATGTGATATATTTGAGATAGCTGTTATCTAATAACCTTCAGCAATAACTGGCTTCCTGAAATCGAAGAAAATGATGTGAACAACCAAAAATAAGTTGAATATTTATAACCAAAAAAGAATACAGATTCCATATCAATTTACGGATAGAACTCTTATTGTATTACCAAACTAATTTAAAAATTACTACTCTAAAAACATTATAATGTAGTCAATGCTTCAAAGTCAGTCGTCTAAAATGTGAGATAATTCCAGAAAATAAGTATTTTTTTTTTTTTTTAAGTAAAAAGAGTAACTCTAAAAATCATGTTTGGCAAAATAATACTTGAAGCTAGAATCTAGTTGATTCAATCAAAAAACCCCATCCGGCAAAAAGTAGTCCAAAAATAGAATTAAAAAGGTAAAAGACTATTCCTAAAAACAGAACATGAATAGGGTTCTACAAATCACCAACCAACAGCAAACAAGATTGGTAAAACAAGAAAATTGCATAAAAATAGAATAAGATTAACCCTCAACATAAGAAAACACAAACCCATGATTAACTCTACCACTGAAGATTAATATGTTAAAAAAAAAAAAAATTGTTATTTAAATCTTCACAGACTAGTACTAGACAAGAGGCCGGACACTTGACCTTCAAGGATATAAAGACCTTCAGGATCAATTAGATTTATTTGGCATAAAAATATATAGGGACCTTCAATTCAAGGATATGGACTCAATATTCAGCCTTCAGACTTGAGAGCGCCGAGAATTGGAGATTGAGAGAGAGAGAGAGAGACAAAGGATTTGGGAATTTATTGGTTTCAATTTCAGCACAGATGGGTACAATAGGTTTTGGGTTCGGTCAATTTCTGTTTCAATTTTATTTCCCTGGGTTGGACAAGTGGACGCAATGGTTAAATTTACAAAGAAATCGAAGCAGGATGACTTAATTGTTGGAATGCAGACATGGGCGGAGCCAAGAATTACTGGGCTAAAAATTTTAAAATTTTAATATACAACTGAAATTTATACATAATAAGATAAATTCATAATATAAGTTACCTATTAAAGTTGTATTCGACGATGTTTTATAGCATAAAATTCATCTATAATGGAATCTAGATCTAAATTTATACTAAATTCTCGTTTAATGTTTAGTGTTAAACAGTCAGCAAGAATTATTAAATTATAAAATTCCCAAACAACTCATGAAAAGTCAGATTATATCGTTATTAAATTATATAATTCCCAAACAATTTACATACATTTCAAGTGATTTCAGGAATATCCAAAACAATTGCGAAAGATTAAAATTTCAAAATACAAGATTTAAACCCCCCTACCTTAAAAAATAAAACCGCGTCTACCAATCTGCACCACAAGTTAACTTCAAAAATTCGATCTGTGCCCAAAACAATCTGTAAATTTCAAATTTGGACGCGATTACTCAATTTTTTTCACCAATAACCCTATTACTAGTAAAACCTGGCACGAACAACTAAGAAATCTTTAAATAGCCGTACATAAAACAAGTCATTATTCTCAAAAAATTATTCAAAATACACCAGTTACCAAATAAACTAATTATTCTCCAAAGAAACATCATTCTACTTTGAATCCCATATAAAAAAGAGGGTTTTAGTAAAACTAATTATTCAAAATACGCCAAATTACCAATTCAATTTTAACATTCAGATTTGAAAAAAGAAAGGGTCACGAACGGGACTCACCGTCACTCTTGGCAGTTAGCAGGGCACAGGCCGGCAGTGAGTCGGCAATCGACGGTTCCGTTCGGTGCGGCTACGGTCAGGGGCAAAGTGAAAAGATTTAGGGATTTTGACTTTTGGGAATTATTTGACTTGGTTTTGCAAAGGAAAACGGGAATGGCCGAATGGAAAAGAAAGGGATTATACGTGAACGGTGAATCAGAATAAGAAAATAGGTAATGGACTAACTAATGGGTATTATTATTGGGCCTAAAATTATATAGAATTAGTAGGCTACAAATTAAAGATTTTATTTATTTATTTTTATTTTTTTAATTTGGGACAGCCCATTAAATTTATTTGTTGGTGGGGATGTGTTTAATTGGATACAATTCAAGCAAAAAAAAAATAAAATAAATAATTTTGTTGCATCTGGGCCTTGGTGACAGTGGGCTGTAGCCAAGTGCAGCCCACCATTGAATCCGCCCCTGAATGTAGAAATAGAATTACCTAAATTTTTTAAAAAAAATTAATTCAAAAATCAAGATCTGCTAGATAGTTACATGTATATTATATCAAGAATAAAATATTCGAGTTTTTACCTAAATTCGATTATTAACTCTTGAATTAATTTTGAATATCAAATTTTAATCTTTTGGATCATGTACTTTCAGTTAGGGGTGGGCATGGGTCGGGTCGATTTTTTCCCCAACCCAAACCCAACCCAATATGATCGGTTTGATCAAAATTTAACCCAACCCAACCTGTGTAAAGGTTGAAACCCAACCCAATCAACTATCGGTCGGGTTGGGTTGGGTTGGTCGGTTTGGGACGAATTTTCAATAAAAATTAAAGTTATTCAATTTTTGAGCTTGATATCTTCTTTATACTTCATTAAAATAATGGAATTTGGTTTTTCCTTCCATTGTCAGAATAAAACTACTAGAAATAAGATTATCAAAATGGATTGCACCACCAGATTTTCTAGCAAAGCTAACATATCTTATATGGAACCACCACAAAGAGAGAGCACATTGACACAGTCAGAGCATATACTTCTGGTTCTCATTACTTTGTAGAGGTTGTCATTGTATTGCTTGAAGATATGCTTTTGAACCAAGCACATAATATTAGAGAAATGTTACAGGAAAAGCTCGAGCAACTTCCTGAAGTTGAGCGTGCTTTCGTTCACATAGACTTCGAGTTTACTCACAGACCAGAAAGAAGAAGAAGAAAGAAAGTAGTGGGTCTCAAAAGATACAGATAAAAAGTTAAGGGTATGGTTATTTCCATCTACGCTTTTTAAAAGTACATCACACTCTAAATTCATCCCTAATAAAAATTTAAAATTTTAAAAAAAATACTATTTATATCCACGACATTTCCATCTTGCCCTTATTAAACCCATTCATTTAAATATTATATATCCACGTGAATTTATATATCCATTGTAGGTGCAAATATCAAAATATAAACAATTTTCACTTTTTAATTCTCATGATAAATGATGCCTGCTAGACTAGTATTCGACTTATTATTCTCCAAACCCTTGCCAGACTCCCCATTCCTTGGCTCGAATTAATTACAGGAAACTCCAAACTCTTGCAACAATTACAGCTCCATCCGATCTAGATCTCACAATCCTAGATAATATTCTGTTAGTATTACTACTTCTATTATAGATCAACGAATTATGAATATTGGAAGAGCTCTTGCTGGTGTTCGAGTGATTTGAAGAGGTGAATTGATTAAATGACTCATGAGAACAATCGGAATATGACGAGAGTGACAAGGAGGGGTGGCGGCGGAGAAGGAACTAATATACAGTGAGACCCATTTGACAGATTTAGATGGGGGATGGGAGGGTGCCAATTTTTAATTTTTAGAAGATTTCAAGAAAATGAATCCAGACCTTTAAATTGATTTAAATTTAGGGTTGAGATTATTTGTCAAATTCACTTATCAAAAACTTTGTAAGAGGAACGCTCCCCTATGTTACCTAGACTGCTCATTATTACTTATATCTATTTAAGTAAATTTATATATGATTTAAAATATAATAAAATTTTATTTTTAAAAGTGGATGTACTTATAAAAAGCGTGGGTGAAAATAGCGCTACCCAAAGTTAATAACTTCCATTTCTGATTTATATCTACAGTTTTTTCCTCTTGTGCTGGCTGGCCATGTCTAAAGACGATAATCACTAGAAGTTCAGTTTTGACAACTGATCACAAAATTCTAATTACTTAGGAGGAGATGAAGAAAAAACCGGAAAAAAAAAAAGGGACAGATACAGAATCATCACCACCACCGGCCACCAGGAAGAAGAGGGTGGCAGCTGACAAAGACGGCGGTGATCAACTAAATAAAGAAAGTGGTGGTGATGATTTGGATCATGAGATTCATACGTGGACTGAAAGAGAGAGGAGGAAGAAGATGAGGGACATGTTCGCAAATCTTCAAGCTTTTCTTCCTCCTAAGGTAAATCTATTGGTTTGCGAAAATAAATAGTAGGAATCGTCGAATAGAAGTGTAGATCGAGTGGCTAATTTAAAGAAAAACAAAAGTTCAGTGCAAAAATAATTTGTGAATTGTTAAGAGCTCGATGCAGAGTATTGTTAGCTCATATTTAATGAAAAAGTACTCTCGATGAAGATCTAATTATTCGAAATCGTCGAATTCAAGAATCTTCTCTTCCCCTGTCAAAAATCAAGAATCCTGTCGAGATTGCTAAGGAAGACTCGATCCTTTTCTTCAAAAAACTGCAATAAATTTACATTTATTTCAATCTAATTTTATTTTTTTTAGCTTCCCTTTTCCCAGTATAATTTTCCAAGATCGTTTGGCAAGTTAGATTGTACAAAATTCAACAGTACTATACTGTCATGTTAAATAATATTTAGTCTCTGGCAACAAAATATTCATAATTTGGACATGAATTTGCTATTTTCCTCCAACTATTTTAGATTTCCAAGCTCAAATTGAGTGCAGTTTGAGATGTTTATTTTTGAAACTAATGCAGACAGACAAGTCCACCATTGTCGACGAAGCTGTAAACCACATTAGGATGCTACCAAAAACTATTGAGAAACTCGAGAAACAGAAGCACGAGGAACTCGCAACAAAGCCGGGGGAGACAGTTTTAGCCGATGAAGGATCTTCCAAGAATAACTTGCCTCCATTAATGCCTCAAACTCATTTTCATTCTCACAGATTCCCGTCTTTTTTCAGACATGGTCTTCTCTTAATATGAGCCTAAACATATGAGGACAAGATGCCCAAATCAGCATTTGTTGTCTGAAGAAGGCCGGGCTTTTCACTGCCATTTACTATGTTTTGGAGAAGCATAAAATTGAAGTGGTTTCTGCTCAAGTTTTATCCGATCATCATAGAAGCATGTACATGATTCAAGCCCATGTAAGTTCATCATTTTCTCCCTAAAATATCCAGAAATCCCATTAATTATACTGTTTAGTTTGTCGAATACCACGTGCTGAACATGTTGAGTATACATTATTAAAAAAGTTCCTGCAAGCGTTGGATAATTATGAAACACAAAAGTTGATATACAGAACTTTTTTTTTTCTTTTTTCCTTGTTATAGGCAACAAACAAGTTTTGTGATTTATTTCAAAATAATTGATTGAGAATGACTGAAGCTCATATTTATGAATAATTACTTCATTCTCTTTGTATATTCACTATTTTGTGTGCTTTCAAATGAATATTAGAAAAGAAAGAAAGAAAGATAATATTAGATTTTGAATGCTTAGCTCATCTAAAAGCTTAAACTAACACTTGAGAAATTTTTTTATTTATATTGTCAAACTAATTTTTGAATTTTCTTTCATAATTTCCGGGGTTTTGCTTCAAATGAATATTAGAAAAGAAAGAAAGAAAGATAATATTAGATTTTGAATGCTTAGCTCATCTAAAAGCTTAAACTAACACTCGAGAAATTTTTTATTTATATTGTCAAACTAATTTTGAATTTTCTTTCATAATTTCTGGGGTTTTGCTTACCCCAATTCATGTATACCAGGCAAATGGAGTTTGTAATGAAGTCCAGGAGCCTTTTCCAGTGGAAGAAATATACAAGAAAGCTGCAGGAAAGATAATGCTCATTGTTAATTCTTAATGAGAGACTGCAACTTCAATTTAAAAAGTAGACAAATGGTGTTGATATAAGTACTTAATTATGTATGTTTTTTATTACTTAATTATGTATACATATAGCTAGAATTAATGAAGTGCATGTCCCCCAATTTCATAAGTTATAGCATATATAGAAATATCTTCTTAATTAGCTCTCTCATTTGGTCATTATGCAATATAAGTTGCAAAATTTATTCCGTCTTCCTTTTGATAATCGATATATGGATGGGACCTGAGCTATCGAATTGGAATAAGTTCGTAAACAAATCATGAAGTATATCTAGCTAAAAAAAAATTGTATATTGGGTTTTGATATCCAATAAATCTCGGGCTACGATTTAAATGTTGGAATATAACTTCCTAGGCCTGATCGGCCAATGGTGAATTAATCACCAACAACCAAGTTCAAAGACTAGACCCGACCCATAAATATTACCTCTTGGATGATTTTTAATCTTGGTTCATTTAATCTTATTATTGGTCCAATTAAAGCCTAACCTAATCCTATATATATGTTATTTCTATCCTAGAAGTTCAGTGTGTGATTTGTGTATGAAAGTTGGGAAAAACTTGGCATTTCTCAAAAATCGGCTTCCCTTGGAGAAGAAAAAGCAGTGCCTTCTTCATTGATTTTAGTCTCTTCTCTTGCCTTATTCTATTGTTTTTCCCGTGCCTTTGTGACCTATAAATCATCACCGCTATCTTGTCCTTTGTGGGTGAGATTGAAAAGCAACCAAAATGAATATATTGGTTGTGGGTTGGAACTGTTTGAATTGGTTGATTGGTAAAGAAATATAACGTGAAACTAAGCTTGAAAATCACCGATTTAATGATCCTTGGAGCGAGCTTCCGTGATATTGTATATCTTATATTGAACAAAGAGTTTGCTAGGATCCTCCTCACACCAAGAAGTTAAAGATGACATCCAAAACAAGAAAGCCCCGAGCTTTGTGAAGAAGACTTTAGAATATTAATGTTGAATGAGAGAAGTATTTCAAGCCTTTCTAATTTTTTTAACAATATTTAAGAGAACTTTAGAAGGAAAAATTAAAGGATAGTGTTCCCTTTAGCATATCTGAAATGAATAAATGAAGGTATACCCTCAATCATTGAATATGTATATAGAGCTAGATATGCGAATTTTGAGATAAATTGTCCTGGCATGACAATTACATCATAGAAATTGCTAGTGTTTATTTCGAAGTTACTAGCTCAACTTCCCCATCCTAAACTAGAAATAATTATATATAAGTAAGATATTTTGTACAAGAAATAGCATGTTTGGTCATGTTAACAAAAAACGCCCTTTTAATAGGCTTTAAACTTTATAGCCAACCGTGCTCGCAAGTCCATAATAAATAATAAACCTTGAACCAAAACAAATCAATGTCTATTCCACGCAAAAGATTGTAGTATGTTCAATTAATTGACTCAATAATGGTGCTTCCTAGCACGTACAGGGACGAATTCAGGATTTGATCCAAGATCGAGTTAAAAAATTTCAAATCGGATTAATATGCGAAAAAAATTTACACTTAAAAAATTGGTTTCTTTTTATAAATAAAAAAAATACCCGTAAATTTTTTTTCATGTTTGGCTTCTTCACTTTTAATCTTAAATTTGGCCTCGTTTGATTATTTAATTCTTGATCTTGAGTTTGCTTCTAGATCCATATATTTGATTCTTGAATTCCTTCTTCTTTATATTTGGTTGTGGATATTGAATCTTCCTCTTCAATATACTTTCTTAATTAATTCTTATGTTGATGGGATGACATAAAGAAAGAGATCACATATAAATTGGAGATCATAACTCTATATATATATATCTATAAGTAGTTTGGCCGTCATAAAATACAATTCTAACGAATTTGGTTTTTACATCTATAATTCTGCCCACACTTTATTTATATATCTTAAGCACAATAATTTAATTCTTTATTCGACTACTTTAAAAAAGCTTAATTTTAAGATATACTTATAAATAATTAATTACCTACATAGGCCCACATGATAAATTAATGAATCCAACAATCTTCCACTTGGACCACATATATTACCTTATATGTATAACCTTATAACGTCAAAACTTTTACTATTATAACCAAAAGTATTTTCGAACAATCTATTGACTATATCAATATATGATCAAAGCGATCTTCATTACAAGTATCATAGCTAAACTCATCAATGGTCACGTATATCAACACAATTAAATGACAGACCAAGTGTGGATGTATAACATTGAAATTACTTGCAATATGATCCAAACATGTCTATTTCCAACTGATCATACCTTACTCTTTTATAAGATCAACAATAAATTTTAATTTTTCTTGGACAGTCATCAAATCATCCATCTTTTTTAGAAGTCTTGAAAGTTTCGATGTCCCATATTCGAAAACACAAAGAGACCTTCCGTACATTTTGTGGTATACTACAGGAAGCCGGATTAGAGGTAAACATCCCCCTGACAATTCAAGCAACTTTACGAGTTGTCCCCGCAAAGCATTTAGATCCCTCCGTTGTACCCGGGTCAAGTCATTCTGGTCACTAGAAGCAAGTGCACCTGCTGAAACTTTGTCCAAGGTACATGTAAGACTTTGTGATGTCGAAGTCATAGATTCTGATACTAAATTATCATTACATTCAAATGTAGAATCTGACATCACTGGAAACCAAGCAACATTTGTACGAGCCTGTGGCAAAAATCCATGCCCACGAGCCACACTAGACCTCCCATAGAAACCGACTTGCATTACTCAGAGCCGACGAGACTCCCACCCTCAATGGAATAACAAGGATAATAGTGTATCCACGTTGACCTAGTACATGAAGTGCAGGAGCAAAATCTCTGTCTCCCGAGATTAACAAGATTGATGAGGGCTCGCGATTTTCGAGAGCAAAAGAGAACATGTCGCCCAAAATTTTCTTGTAGGCAGCATCGTTGGGAACACCTACAAGTTTGACACCTATGCTCTGACACCCCTTTCTTAATCGCCTCGAAAATACACTAAAATCTCCATATGCTGAAAACATGGTCACCGGTCCATTAATTGTAGGATGGGATTGTGAACTCATCATTATGTTGCTAGCTACATCCTCAGGACACACATCACTTGGCACGGGGCAACTCTCAATGTCCCAAAAGATGGCAATAGAACCCTGTAAGGAGCCTTTGGATTTTCCATGAGGAAGATTGACAGGAATTTATGTTAAAATTTGACATGCTATAATAACTTTTCGAATTGTCCATACTTTCGTTCATTGAGCATTCCACTGGAAACCAAGCAACATTTACATTAGCCTGCAGCACAAATCCATGTCCACGAGCCATACTAGACCAATCCCATATAAACTGACTTGCATTACTCAGAGCCGACGAGACTCCCACCCTTGATGGAATAACAAGGATAATAGTGTATCCACGTTGACCTAGTACATGAAGTGCAGGAGCAAAATCTCTGTCTCCCGAGATTAACAAGATTGATGAGGGTGGGCGATTGTCGAGAGCAAAAAGGAACATGTCGACCAAAGTTTTCTTGGAGGCAGCATCGTTGGGAACGTGAACGAGTTGGACACCTATCCTACAACACCCCTTTTTTAGTCGCCTCGAAAATGCGCTAAAATCTCCATATGCTGAAAACATTTTCACTGGTTTATTAATTGTAGGATGGGCTCGTAAACTCATCCTAATGTTACCGACCACATTCTCTGAACGCATATCACTTGGCACGGCACAGTTCTCAATGTCCCAAAAGATGGCAACAGGACCTCGTAAGGAGCTTCGGGTTTTCCATGAGGAAGATTGACAAGAATTCATGTTAAAATTTGACATGTTTTTCTGAGTTATCTCCAAGTATCCTGATGGCAATGTGATATATTTGAGATAGCTGTTATCTAATAACCTTCAGCAATAACTGGCTTCCTGAAATCGAAGAAAATGATGTGAACAACCAAAAATAAGTTGAATATTTATAACCAAAAAAGAATACAGATTCCATATCAATTTACGGATAGAACTCTTATTGTATTACCAAACTAATTTAAAAATTACTACTCTAAAAACATTATAATGTAGTCAATGCTTCAAAGTCAGTCGTCTAAAATGTGAGATAATTCCAGAAAATAAGTATTTTTTTTTTTTTTTAAGTAAAAAGAGTAACTCTAAAAATCATGTTTGGCAAAATAATACTTGAAGCTAGAATCTAGTTGATTCAATCAAAAAACCCCATCCGGCAAAAAGTAGTCCAAAAATAGAATTAAAAAGGTAAAAGACTATTCCTAAAAACAGAACATGAATAGGGTTCTACAAATCACCAACCAACAGCAAACAAGATTGGTAAAACAAGAAAATTGCATAAAAATAGAATAAGATTAACCCTCAACATAAGAAAACACAAACTCATGATTAACTCTACCACTGAAGATTAATATGTTAAAAAAAAAAAAATTGTTATTTAAATCTTCACAGACTAGTACTAGACAAGAGGCCGGACACTTGACCTTCAAGGATATATAGACCTTCAGGATCAATTAGATTTATTTGGCATAAAAATATATAGGGACCTTCAATTCAAGGATATGGACTCAATATTCAGCCTTCAGACTTGAGAGCGCCGAGAATTGGAGATTGAGAGAGAGAGAGAGAGAGACAAAGGATTTGGGAATTTATTGGTTTCAATTTCAGCACAGTCAATTTCTGTTTCAATTTTATTTCCCTGGGTTGGACAAGTGGACGCAATGGTTAAATTTACAAAGAAATCGAAGGAGGATGACTTAATTGTTGGAATGCAGACATGGGAGAGCCAAGAATTACTGGGCTAAAAATTTTAAAATTTTAATATACAACTGAAATTTATATATAATAAGATAAATTCATAATATAAGTTACCTATTAAAGTTGTATTCGACGATATTTTATAGCATAAAATTCATCTATAATGGAATCTAGATCTAAATTTATACTAAATTCTCGTTTAATATTTAGTGTTAAACAGTCAGCAAGAATTATTAAATTATAAAATTCCCAAACAACTCATGAAAAGTCAGATTATATCGTTATTAAATTATATAATTCCCAAACAATTTACATACATTTCAAGTGATTTCAGGAATATCCAAAACAATTGCGAAAGATTAAAATTTCAAAATACAAGATTTAAACCCCCCTACCTTAAAAAATAAAACCGCGTCTACCAATCTGCACCACAAGTTAACTTCAAAAATTCGATCTGTGCCCAAAACAATCTGTAAATTTCAAATTTGGACGCGATTACTCAATTTTTTTCACCAATAACCCTATTACTAGTAAAACCTGGCACGAACAACTAAGAAATCTTTAAAGAGCCGTACATAAAACAAGTCATTATTCTCAAAAAATTATTCAAAATACACCAGTTACCAAATAAACTAATTATTCTCCAAAAAAACATCATTCTACTTTGAATCCCATATAAAAAAGAGGGTTTTAGTAAAACTAATTATTCAAAATACGCCAAATTACCAATTCAATTTTAACATTCAGATTTGAAAAAAGAAAGGGTCACGAACGGGACTCACCGTCACTCATGGCAGTTAGCAGGGCACAGGCCGGCAGTGAGTCGGCAATCGACGGTTCCGTTCGGTGCGGCTACGGTCAGGGGCAAAGTGAAAAGATTTAGGGATTTTGATTTTTGGGAATTATTTGACTTGGTTTTGCAAAGGAAAATGGGAATGGCCGAATGGAAAAGAAAGGGATTATACGTGAACGGTGAATCAGAATAAGAAAATGGGTAATGGACTAACTAATGGGTATTATTATTGGGCCTAAAATTATATAGAATTTGTAGGCTACAAATTAAAGATTTTATTTATTTATTTTTATTTTTTTAATTTCGGACAGCCCATTAAATTTATTTGTTGGTGGGGATGTGTCTAATTGGATACAATTCAAGCCAAAAAAAAAAAAAAAAAAAAATAATTTTGTTGCATCTGGGCCTTGGTGACAGTGGGCTGTAGCCAAGTGCAGCCCACCATTGAATCCGCCCCTGAATGTAGAAATAGAATTACCTAAATTTTTTTAAAAAAATTAATTCAAAAATCAAGATCAGCTAGATAGTTACATGTATATTATATCAAGAATAAAATATTCGAGTTTTTACCTAAATTCGATTATTAACTCTTGAATTAATTTTGAATATCAAATTTTAATCTTTTGGATCATGTACTTTCAGTTAGGGGTGGGCATGGGTCGGGTCGATTTTTTCCCCAACCCAACATGATTGGTTTGATCAAAATTTTACCCAACCCAACCTGTGTAAAGGTTGAAACCCAACCCAATCAACTATCGGTCGGGTTGGTCGGTTTGGGACGAATTTTCAATAAAAATTAAAGTTATTCAATTTTTGAGCTTGATATCTTCTTTATACTTCATTAAAATAATGGAATTTGGTTTTTCCTTCCATTATCAGAATAAAACTACTAGAAATAAGATTATCAAAATGGATTGCACCACCAGATTTTCTAGCAAAGCTAACATATCTTATATGGAACCACCACAAAGAGAGAGCACATTGACACAGTCAGAGCATATACTTCTGGTTCTCATTACTTTGTAGAGGTTGTCATTGTATTGCTTGAAGATATGCTTTTGAACCAAGCACATAATATTAGAGAAATGTTACAGGAAAAGCTCGAGCAACTTCCTGAAGTTGAGCGTGCTTTCGTTCACATAGACTTCGAGTTTACTCACAGACCAGAAAGAAGAAGAAGAAAGAAAGTAGTGGGTCTCAAAAGATACAGATAAAAAGTTAAGGGTACGGCTATTTCCATCTACGCTTTTTAAAAGTACATCACACTCTAAATTCATCCCTAATAAAAATTTAAAATTTTAAAAAAAATACTATTTATATCCACAACATTTCCATCTTGCCCTTATTAAACCCATTCATTTAAATATTATATATCCACGTGAATTTATATATCCATTGTAGGTGCAAATATCAAAATATAAACAATTTTCACTTTTTAATTCTCATGATAAATGATGCCTACTAGACTAGTATTCGACTTATTATTCTCCAAACCCTTGCCAGACTCCCCATTCCTTGGCTTGAATTATTTACAGGAAACTCCAAACTCTTGCAACAATTACAGCTCCATCCGATTTAGATCTCACAATCCTGGATAATATTCTGTTAGTATTACTACTTCTATTATAGATCAACGAATTATGAATATTGGAAGAGCTCTTGCTGGTGTTCGAGTGATTTGAAGAGGTGAATTGATTAAATGAGTCATGAGAACAATCGGAATATGACGAGAGTGACAAGGAGGGGTGGCGGCGGAGGAGAAGGAACTAATATACAGTGAGACCCATTTGACAGATTTAGATGGGGGATGGGAGGGTGCCAATTTTTAATTTTTAGAAGATTTCAAGAAAATGAATCTAGACCTTTAAATTGATTTAAATTTAGGGTTGAGATTATTTGTCAAATTCACTTATCAAAAACTTTGTAAGAGGAACGCTCCCCTATGTTACCTAGACTGCTCATTATTACTTATATCTATTTAAGTAAATTTATATATGATTTAAAATATAATAAAATTTTATTTTTAAAAGTGGATGTACTTATAAAAAGCGTGGGTGAAAATAGCGCTACCCAAAGTTAATAACTTCCATTTCTGATTTATATCTACAGTTTTTTCCTCTTGTGCTGGCTGGCCATGTCTAAAGACGATAATCACTAGAAGTTCAGTTTTGACAACTGATCACAAAATTCTAATTACTTAGGAGGAGATGAAGAAAAAACCGGAAAAAAAAAAGGGACAGATACAGAATCATCACCACCACCGGCCACCAGGAAGAAGAGGGTGGCAGCTGACAAAGACGGCGGTGATCAACTAAATAAAGAAAGTGGTGGTGATGATTTGGATCATGAGATTCATACGTGGACTGAAAGAGAGAGGAGGAAGAAGATGAGGGACATGTTCGCAAATCTTCAAGCTTTTCTTCCTCCTAAGGTAAATCTATTGGTTTGCGAAAATAAATAGTAGGAATCGTCGAATAGAAGTGTAGATCGAGTGGCTAATTTAAAGAAAAATAAAAGTTCAGTGCAAAAATAATTTGTGAATTGTTAAGAGCTCGATGCAGAGTATTGTTAGCTCGTATTTAATGAAAAAGTACTCTCGATGAAGATCTAATTATTCGAAATCGTCGAATTCAAGAATCTTCTCTTCCCCTGTCAAAAATCAAGAATCCTGTCGAGATTGCTAAGGAAGACTCGATCCTTTTCTTCAAAAAACTGCAATAAATTTACATTTATTTCAATCTAATTTTATTTTTTTTAGCTTCCCTTTTCCCAGTATAATTTTCCAAGATCGTTTGGCAAGTTAGATTGTACAAAATTCAACAGTACTATACTGTCATGTTAAATAATATTTAGTCTCTGGCAACAAAATATTCATAATTTGGACATGAATTTGCTATTTTCCTCCAACTATTTTAGATTTCCAAGCTCAAATTGAGTGCAGTTTGAGATGTTTATTTTTGAAACTAATGCAGACAGACAAGTCCACCATTGTCGACGAAGCTGTAAACCACATTAGGATGCTACCAAAAACTATTGAGAAACTCGAGAAACAGAAGCACGAGGAACTCGCAACAAAGCCGGGGGAGACAGTTTTAGCCGATGAAGGATCTTCCAAGAATAACTTGCCTCCATTAATGCCTCAAACTCATTTTCATTCTCACAGATTCCCGTCTTTTTTCAGACATGGTCTTCTCTTAATATGAGCCTAAACATATGAGGACAAGATGCCCAAATCAGCATTTGTTGTCTGAAGAAGGCCGGGCTTTTCACTGCCATTTACTATGTTTTGGAGAAGCATAAAATTGAAGTGGTTTCTGCTCAAGTTTTATCCGATCATCATAGAAGCATGTACATGATTCAAGCCCATGTAAGTTCATCATTTTCTCCCTAAAATATCCAGAAATCCCATTAATTATACTGTTTAGTTTGTCGAATACCACGTGCTGAACATGTTGAGTATACATTATTAAAAAAGTTCCTGCAAGCGTTGGATAATTATGAAACACAAAAGTTGATATACAGAACTTTTTTTTTTCTTTTTTCCTTGTTATAGGCAACAAACAAGTTTTGTGATTTATTTCAAAATAATTGATTGAGAATGACTGAAGCTCATATTTATGAATAATTACTTCATTCTCTTTGTATATTCACTATTTTGTGTGCTTTCAAATGAATATTAGAAAAGAAAGAAAGAAAGATAATATTAGATTTTGAATGCTTAGCTCATCTAAAAGCTTAAACTAACACTTGAGAAATTTTTTTATTTATATTGTCAAACTAATTTTTGAATTTTCTTTCATAATTTCCGGGGTTTTGCTTCAAATGAATATTAGAAAAGAAAGAAAGAAAGATAATATTAGATTTTGAATGCTTAGCTCATCTAAAAGCTTAAACTAACACTTGAGAAATTTTTTTATTTATATTGTCAAACTAATTTTTGAATTTTCTTTCATAATTTCCGGGGTTTTGCTTCAAATGAATATTAGAAAAGAAAGAAAGAAAGATAATATTAGATTTTGAATGCTTAGCTCATCTAAAAGCTTAAACTAACACTCGAGAAATTTTTTATTTATATTGTCAAACTAATTTTGAATTTTCTTTCATAATTTCTGGGGTTTTGCTTACCCCAATTCATGTATACCAGGCAAATGGAGTTTGTAATGAAGTCCAGGAGCCTTTTCCAGTGGAAGAAATATACAAGAAAGCTGCAGGAAAGATAATGCTCATTGTTAATTCTTAATGAGAGACTGCAACTTCAATTTAAAAAGTAGACAAATGGTGTTGATATAAGTACTTAATTATGTATGTTTTTTATTACTTAATTATGTATACATATAGCTAGAATTAATGAAGTGCATGTCCCCCAATTTCATAAGTTATAGCATATATAGAAATATCTTCTTAATTAGCTCTCTCATTTGGTCATTATGCAATATAAGTTGCAAAATTTATTCCGTCTTCCTTTTGATAATCGATATATGGATGGGACCTGAGCTATCGAATTGGAATAAGTTCGTAAACAAATCATGAAGTATATCTAGCTAAAAAAAAATTGTATATTGGGTTTTGATATCCAATAAATCTCGGGCTACGATTTAAATGTTGGAATATAACTTCCTAGGCCTGATCGGCCAATGGTGAATTAATCACCAACAACCAAGTTCAAAGACTAGACCCGACCCATAAATATTACCTCTTGGATGATTTTTAATCTTGGTTCATTTAATCTTATTATTGGTCCAATTAAAGCCTAACCTAATCCTATATATATGTTATTTCTATCCTAGAAGTTCAGTGTGTGATTTGTGTATGAAAGTTGGGAAAAACTTGGCATTTCTCAAAAATCGGCTTCCCTTGGAGAAGAAAAAGCAGTGCCTTCTTCATTGATTTTAGTCTCTTCTCTTGCCTTATTCTATTGTTTTTCCCGTGCCTTTGTGACCTATAAATCATCACCGCTATCTTGTCCTTTGTGGGTGAGATTGAAAAGCAACCAAAATGAATATATTGGTTGTGGGTTGGAACTGTTTGAATTGGTTGATTGGTAAAGAAATATAACGTGAAACTAAGCTTGAAAATCACCGATTTAATGATCCTTGGAGCGAGCTTCCGTGATATTGTATATCTTATATTGAACAAAGAGTTTGCTAGGATCCTCCTCACACCAAGAAGTTAAAGATGACATCCAAAACAAGAAAGCCCCGAGCTTTGTGAAGAAGACTTTAGAATATTAATGTTGAATGAGAGAAGTATTTCAAGCCTTTCTAATTTTTTTAACAATATTTAAGAGAACTTTAGAAGGAAAAATTAAAGGATAGTGTTCCCTTTAGCATATCTGAAATGAATAAATGAAGGTATACCCTCAATCATTGAATATGTATATAGAGCTAGATATGCGAATTTTGAGATAAATTGTCCTGGCATGACAATTACATCATAGAAATTGCTAGTGTTTATTTCGAAGTTACTAGCTCAACTTCCCCATCCTAAACTAGAAATAATTATATATAAGTAAGATATTTTGTACAAGAAATAGCATGTTTGGTCATGTTAACAAAAAACGCCCTTTTAATAGGCTTTAAACTTTATAGCCAACCGTGCTCGCAAGTCCATAATAAATAATAAACCTTGAACCAAAACAAATCAATGTCTATTCCACGCAAAAGATTGTAGTATGTTCAATTAATTGACTCAATAATGGTGCTTCCTAGCACGTACAGGGACGAATTCAGGATTTGATCCAAGATCGAGTTAAAAAATTTCAAATCGGATTAATATGCGAAAAAAATTTACACTTAAAAAATTGGTTTCTTTTTATAAATAAAAAAAATACCCGTAAATTTTTTTTCATGTTTGGCTTCTTCACTTTTAATCTTAAATTTGGCCTCGTTTGATTATTTAATTCTTGATCTTGAGTTTGCTTCTAGATCCATATATTTGATTCTTGAATTCCTTCTTCTTTATATTTGGTTGTGGATATTGAATCTTCCTCTTCAATATACTTTCTTAATTAATTCTTATGTTGATGGGATGACATAAAGAAAGAGATCACATATAAATTGGAGATCATAACTCTATATATATATATCTATAAGTAGTTTGGCCGTCATAAAATACAATTCTAACGAATTTGGTTTTTACATCTATAATTCTGCCCACACTTTATTTATATATCTTAAGCACAATAATTTAATTCTTTATTCGACTACTTTAAAAAAGCTTAATTTTAAGATATACTTATAAATAATTAATTACCTACATAGGCCCACATGATAAATTAATGAATCCAACAATCTTCCACTTGGACCACATATATTACCTTATATGTATAACCTTATAACGTCAAAACTTTTACTATTATAACCAAAAGTATTTTCGAACAATCTATTGACTATATCAATATATGATCAAAGCGATCTTCATTACAAGTATCATAGCTAAACTCATCAATGGTCACGTATATCAACACAATTAAATGACAGACCAAGTGTGGATGTATAACATTGAAATTACTTGCAATATGATCCAAACATGTCTATTTCCAACTGATCATACCTTACTCTTTTATAAGATCAACAATAAATTTTAATTAGAGTGAAATTGTACTAAATACTTTATTTCTAAAATAAATTGAATGTCCATGGATAAAAATGTCTTTAACAGACAACATCTGAATACAAACTCTCACCAAACTGTCATATAAACAAAAGATACAATACCTATGTGAATAATAGGCTCATGAAAGACTTTAGGTGATAGCCTCTTAGTAAGTCGATACGTAATTGTAGAGTTTGTCCTGATATGTTCAATATAAACCCGAACACTCTAAATTCTTTCTTTGACAACTAGGAACTTAATGTCCATAAACTTTAACATCATCAAACTCCTATTGGAATACAAAATTGCTATTGTTACATAATTTTTCAATCCATCCAAAATATGCAGACTGTGACAAAATTTTCTAGTTATATTCCATGATCAAAATCAGAATATCCAATGATCTCTAGTTGCTTTGATTTTCCTGAATGTGATCATGTAGTCCTGATTGGTTTGCATCCTTAATATAAAAAAGGCGTCATTGAGAATTTTCATTTCAAAATTTCGTTACAGAAATTTCTTCGTTTTGCGCAATAAGCCTATATTATTATAGGAAAGTAATATATCACCGACACACAATATCAAAAAAATATGCTTACTCTCCGCTGAACTTGTGGTATACAAAATCATCTACTGTATTTACCTATAAACCAAATGAGATAATTTTTTGATAAAATTTGTAAAACCATTAACGGGAAGCCTACTCAAGCATGTAGATGTATTTTTTTAGTTTGTAAACCATCCGACGTAGTTTAAGATCACAATGTGTCACAAATGCCCCAATAGTCCTAAAAGAGTTTTTCACATGAACCATAGAGAAAATCCCTTTAAAGTCAATGCGTTCCTTTTGAGTAAAGCCATTTACAATAAGACGAGCATTATATCTCTTCACATCACCCTTCGAATCTCTCTTAGTTTTAAATATCCATTTATAACCAATAGGCTTTGCACATTCACGCAATATGATGAATTCCTAAATTCATTGTCACTCATGTACTTTATTTCTTTATTCATGACTCTTAAGAATTATTCCTTTGCGTTGCTTGATAAAAGTTGATTGATCAGTTCTTCTTTCACCAGTACAATATCATCTTTATTTTCTTGGAGAAAGACTATAAAACTTTAACTTTATGAATTGCTAAGATCTTCATGTCAAATCATCAAGAAAATTAATTAATGCGAAACATACTTTAATTCTTTGGCAATGATTCTTTATTACTGGATTTTAATTCGGGATCTCGAATCTTAAACTGTAATCTTTTCATGTTTGGCTTCACTTTTAATCTTGAATTTTGCTTCATTTGATTCTTTAATTCTTGTTCTTGATTTTGTTTCCTAATCCATAGATTTGATTCTTGAATTTATTCTTCTTTATATTTGGTTGTGGATATTGAATCTTCCTCTTCAATTCTTATGTTGATGGGATGACATAAAGAATGAAAATCACATATGAATTTATATTCATAAATATTTCCCTCATCATGAAATAGAATTCCAAAGGAGTCTGGTCTTTACATATATAATTTGGTCCACACTCTATTTAGATGTCCTAAACCCAATAATTAAATTCTTTATTAGATCATTTTAAACGGGTTTAACTTTAAGATAGTCTTATGCACAATTAATCACCTACTTAGGCTCATATGACAAATTAATAAACCCAACATGCTGCCTTTAGCCACAATGGGTATTAGTGGGCAATTTGTATCATTTGCTTAATAGGATTTCAACGCCATGTTTACAAAATCGGCTTGTTTAGCCG